AAAAAAATGAAAGTGAGTAGCCTATGTGTTCTTCCAGACTATCCTCTACATCTATATCAAATTTGTTCGAAATCCCTTCAGCCGTTTAAGCTACAAACTCTAACAAACATCCATCTATCCATCCATCCATCTATCTAAACTTCCGCATTTATAATATTAGTATGATTCGAACGTTTAAGTGGATGTATGGATTTTTGTTAGAGTTTGTAGTATAAACTGCTGAAGGGATATTGATGAAATTTCCCATTATAGTATAGTTTGGAAGAACACATAGGCTACTTACTATTATTTTAATTCCGCACGGACGAAGTCGCGGGTAAAATCTAGTACTATTAAAAAATCTGTAACATTTATATTAACACGAGTTGTGCTGAAACATTCATTTGAAAGGTCTCTTTAAAAAACAAGTTTTTGTTAACAATGTTTAAATTGTTTAAGAAAACTGGTTGACAACCCTAGAATCTTAAAAAATCTATAGTCCCCTTTAGCTGAAGCTTTGTTATACACTTAATAAGTGAATTGAACCTAATGACTCAAGGTATAAGGTTTAAAATGCTATTCTAAGTAATGATAACTGTACTTTATAATGCAACTTTTTGCCGCAACTAGTGCAGTGCAGACCTCTCTCATTTGTCCTATTAATACAAACTCAAGCAAAGGAAATAACTACTTTCCTTTTAAAACATAACCTGGTTTATTAAACGTCATTCGATATTAAATCGTGTGTCATTTGAAATATGACTCATTTTAACTGGAAATATTTTAATCCAAATCGGTTACTAAAAATTATTTTTTTCCTTAAATTTTAATGTGAGGTTTCGATGCAGAAATGTCGCAAAATACGTTGTCTTACTTTTTACAAGAAGAGATAACGTTTTGTAGATTTATATTCAAAGAATTTAACTTATATGACCTTGTGCTTGTGTGTCCCATAAAAGCTGTAATGTAGCAAGTACTTTGTTATTAGGGTAAATTTTCGACCTTTTTGCATTGTGAACGGCAATTGTTGAAATGGGTAGGAAATAAAAGTTCTTGACTATGTAGTGTAAACCCACAGTTATAAAGAAACAGTACTTGATTTAAAAAGTGCCAGTTATCGGATGTGATAACGCCAGAAGTCTCAAACACAGATTATATCATTCTTGCGCCGATTGTCGGCGCGCGCGCACGTGTCCTAGTTCCCCGTTCTTATTACCGGATTTCGGGTCGTGTGTAAATCGACAATACCCATCGGTTAACAGTTAAATAGTGTATGTGATTGTGCAGTTAAAATGCGTCGTGTAAAAATGAATTTGGATCCCGATCTGGGTGATCTCGAAGAGATGTTAGCGCACGTACAAAATCAATTGGAACACGAAATAGATTTGGAAAAGGAATCGAAAATACCATCAGTTGTTAACGTACAAGAATCACCAAAACCTATAAAGAAAAATACAATGAAATCCGATACGTTTGTGTATCGTCGTCAAGCACCACGACCGCCATTAACAAGGATGAACAGCGATATAAATGGTAACGAATCACCAAGCGAAGAGAGAAAACATTACGAGAATTTACGTGGGTCACAGAGCAGTTTGAAATCAGATGATGCAGTATCCCAAATCTCGTTTCAGTCGTTCCGTTCGGAGCCAGTACAGAGACTGTCTTTGTTCAACATGTCTGATAAAAGAGTGTCCTCATCTTCATTGAATGGTAAAGGAAGAACGGCTACTCTACCACGTGGATACGGTTCTACCAAAGACAAGAATTGGGAGGACTATTGGGCTTTGTAAGTTTATCAAAGATATTAAATTTTACCTCATTCATTTAACATTAACTTAACAATACTTTTAAATCAATATAGAAAATATTTTACTAACAGCACTATACTAAAAAAAAAAATATGTCGCGTAAACGCCAAATTTTATGAAAATTTGACGTCTTTCAGATTGTAAGCGCTAACAGATTGTCGAATCGAAAATCGATTCTCGAAATGCCATTTTGAAATGTAATCATACTAATCATACTTCATATTAATATTATAAATGTGAAAGTTTAGATGGATGGATGTTTGTTAGAGTTTGTAGCCTAAACGGCTGAATGGATCACATTGAAATTTGGTATACATGTAGAGGATAGTCTGGAAGAACACATAGGCTACTCACTTTTGTTTTATAACGTACGCACACGGAGTCGTGGGCGAAAGCAAGTTGATAATATTGGGGATATTTAATCAATAAAAGGCCTCCGTATGCCTCACTTTTGAGGTCCTTATGTACAAATTTAGATATCTAACTAGTATTATAAATGCTTTTACATGGATGGATGTTTGTTAAAGTTTGTAGCCTAAATTGATGAACAAATTTCGATGTTTGGTTAAGTCTGGAAAATACACGTAATAGCTTGTGAATATAGTTAAATGCTTCACAGTAAATATGCTAATAATTACGTCAATAAAAAATATTTAAAAGGCATAAAGTACTTAAGATTTTGCAGAAACTAAACAAAGAAATGAATGGGAACCAATTAAACTAACGTTACATTGGAATGTCGACATTTGCGTATTATTGAATTCCGAGAAAAATTGTTATAATTCTCATTATAATGGATTACAGGAAAAGGGTTTAGCTCGTTACTCATGCTATGAATAATATAAATTACTAGCTGTTCCAGTGCGGTTTCATCAGCATGAAAATATAAATACTTTTTATTATTTACATATGTCAAATTCTCAATTGCAAATGTCTTTACTGTTAATCTTGCTTCCTTAATGTTGGCAGCTAGTTTATGGTCTCTTTCCCACATGTAGATTTTCCAATTTGCCCTATCAGTTTAACAGCGTAAAAATATACAGCCTTAAGCGTGTCGTAAGTATAGGGTTTTTTTTTTATTAAAGATAGAATTATTTAAAAATATGCTGTAATTGCTGACATCTTAGGCAACAAAGAAGTCTGTGTTTACGCTTTATTATATTAGTTTAGAGTACAGATATTGATTTGAAGTATTAATATCAAATATGGTATAACAGGATATACCGTATTAAGGCAGTTAACTATGATATATAATCTACTAGCTTTTGCCCGCAACCCTCCGCGTGGAGTAAAACAAAACAAAAGAAAGTAGACTATGTATTCTTCCAGATGTCTCTACATATGCCAAACTTTATCGAGAATCGTTAAGTAGTTTAGGCTACAAACTCTAACAAACATCCATCCATCCTCATTTAATAGTGGTCATATACATTTTAATTGTTAAAGGTGACCATTTTTCTTCTATTTAAAATATTTCAGTCTTTATTTAAAAATGACTATAGTATTTCTCCAATCTCAGGTTCCAAAGAGAATGAATTAAGATTTCCAGAGGTCATTTAGAGGCCTTATTTAGCCTCTGAGACCTAAAGCACCTCTGTTCATACACAGTTAAACATAACAAAAACAGTGAGCCTTTCATGATTAAAAATAAATCGACTTAACTATTAAGATAAAATCACCATTACGTTAAGTTTATGTTATCTTTGACCTCGCTTCGGAAGTTTTCCGTAAGCTGTATTGCTCTTTTGACTTAAGCTAAGTTTCGTATAACTTTATAGATGTTTTCCTAAAACTTTTTGAAGGAATGTAATTTTTTGATTTATCTAGCTCTTAGACTATTTTACTCTAATTTGCTGAGTAAAAAATGAATAATTCTATTGGGTTCATTAACTGCCGCATTTGGTGCATTAAGTCTTCCTTAGTGTGTTAGTACGAGAAATCCACACTAAGGGCCTGTCCCACCAAATTGTAAATTTGATTGCAATGAAACGTGTAAAATATGTGTTCTTATCTAACAGTGACGTCATTTTTAAGCTATCTGAGCCTCTATCAGCCAGTTGTGGGAAATGCCCTAAGGGATATCTTTTATCAATTATCGAATTTGAGTGTTTAACTAGTGACTCCTTAGCTCAACATCCTAAATATTTAGCATACGTGTGGCTTTACTTTGTTACTTAATGGCCGGTTTCCCAGCTACTTTTAAACATTCGATAACTTCCCTTGAGTTTCCGAGGTAACTTGAGTTTTGCTCCAATGAAATACAGTTAATATGAAACTAATGAATCTCTAGGTTATGACAAAATAAGTGGAAACTTCAGAAACCCGGCATAAATCTTTTTCTATTACATCAAGTTGTCCCAAATATAATTTTGTTTTTCATATTTGCTTACTGTATTCAATTGTTTATTCTGCCAACATGTGTTTAACATCTTTCACGGAAGCACAGAGTAATTAATAAATAGAGTGTACAGGATTTATTTTTCTTTTTATACTTAAAGATCTACATGTTTTAATTTTAATATACATACAGGGTTTATGATTTTACTTAAATAATATAAAGATGAAAGATTTATATGTACTAAATAATTCAAAAATTACTGAGCCACTTAAAAAAATCAACGTTACAAACCTACGGCATAAGTTAGTAACATAGGCTAGTTACAATATAAACATACGTGTATCAACAACTTTAGTAATAATTTAGGTTTCGTTTGAGTTCCCACTCGTGAGCTTTAAATTATCCTAAAATCAGTTTAAATAAAACATGTTTTTTTATAATCAAGAGGACTCTCTGTACATTGGTCTGTGCACACTAATTTACGCAAAAACACCACGTCGTAGGCGGGATTTGAACCAAAAACCGGGCCAGTGAATGTTTACTGGGAAGTGAAACTATACAGAGCAGTTAAGCCGGGCCATTGTCCTGGAATACAATATAGAAAGTGTACCTTATGATATTTTTATTTTAAAACAATAGCGGAACGCTAGAATAACTCAATCTCTACTATTTTATTATCATATATTATATAAAAAAAAATTTACTAGCTCGCGTCTTCCCCGCGTGAACATAAAATATAATAAAAAAATGTAGCCTATGTTACTCACAGATAAATTACCTTTCTATTATTTCCATAAATTAAATTAAAAATGTTAAAACTATAAATTGTTCAGACTTTTACTGTAACTACGTTACTTATTTGAATTAATTCATTCATTGAAATTCTATGATTTCATTGAAAATAATCTGTAATAAAAGCAGAGATTCAACGAATTTTTACGATAATACGCACGATATTCCTAAAATAGATAAAATACTGTTCCATCGATCACTTTATCACATCACTCGAGTTAAGACACTCACGTGACTAATAAAATTCTAGCAAACTACACTGTTAAATATGTAAACACACTTTGTTATGTAAGACTATATGTCGCTCGCGACTTCGCTCGCGTGAAAATATATAGCCTACTAGCTTTCGCCAAATTTTATTAAAATTCGTTAAGCCGTTTAGGCTACAAACTCTAACATCCATCCATCCATACATCTAAACTTTTGCATTTATAATATTAGTGAGATGTTACATACAGATAAATTACTTTACGGCGAAAGAATTTTTAAAATCGGTCCTCTTTAATATTAGTATAGGTGTCAGCAGCTTCATCCGCATGAAATTATAAAAACTTTATCTTATTCTTTACATTTGTCTAATTCTCAATTGCAAATGTCAAATTTACTGTTACATAATCTTGCTTTCTCAATGTTGGCACCTAGTTTATGGTCCCTTTCACACATGAAGGTTTTTCCAATTTATGTATCCCCCTAAGTTTGTTCCCTATGTCTGGTCTATTTCTTAAATATCTCAGTGAATAGGGCATCAGTGCGAATTCATACTTACATTATGAATCATCTCGTTACCTGTTTTGCGTTACGAAATGGGACCTGCGATTGTTTTGTATGCAAATTTGCGAATGTATGCCACACTGTCACTTTCTGAGCTACCAGTATGTTGTAAGTGGGATTGGCTAATTATTTGTACACTCACTTGCATAAATAATGTTCTTTTTCGACACTAGCTTTCGCCCGCGAGTACGCCCGCGTGTAAAATAATAAATAGTGCAGCCTATGTTACTTACTGATGACGTAGATTTTTAATGGTGCGAGAATTTATTAAATGATCCCAGTGGTGTTTTGGTTATTTCAATACGTACAAAAATACAAATCATTCCTCTTTATAATATTAGTTTAGATAAGTATTTGTTATTGGAGAAACATTATCTATACTATTACTGTAAAGCGGAAAGATTGATATTTTTGTATGTATTGAAATAACTCAAAAACTACTGAGGCGATTTTAAAAATTTTTTCACCATTAAAAAGCTATGCAATTAGTGAGTAATAGGCTATATATTAATTTAGCGCGGACAAAATCGCAAGCAACAGCTAGTAATAATAGGCCAGTGTTTTTTTATTACTTCTGTTTTAAGTAGCTTCTAAGCTAAAACAGTCTGATTTTTTGCGAAACTTGTGTTTTTAGCTATTTTTAGAAGCAAAGCTCTTTAACCCCTAATTTAAAATTTCAAGTTATTTTCTTACAAATACTTGAGTTACAATTAGTGTTTTAGACTATGAAAAAACATCTCTCTTTCCTAGACTTTTCTCTGAACTAGACCAAATTATTATTTAAGAAACTGGAGCTAGAGAAAGGTTATGTCAATCTTCTAACCTATATAATAACTGAACTAGTTTATTTCTAATTCAGTGTAAATGCAGGTTTTCACGGTGTGTAACTCCAGAGTAAAATAATGGATTATTCCCAACCGTCACCCGCTGTCCCCACGTGAGAATAAAACGTTTCATATGTCCCACCTTTTAATCCCATCATTACCAACAAGGTGACAGATGAACCGTTATGAAATAAAATAAGTTCCAACCGTTCCCTCGCCGCAAAAGGTGGGACGGATGGAACTTTTATTCTCATCTATCTCCACGTGGGGTGACGGTTGGGAATAATACAAAACAATGTCGTTTTTGATAGCGCCGACAAGTCCATGTAACTGTATCTATTTCCGAAACACGTGCAAAAAGCATATAGCTATCTCTGTTAAAAAAAAACAATTAAAGAAATCATTATATTTTTCATAGGTACAGTAGATCCTCGATACCATAAAAACCTCTATAATTTTAAAAATATGTTCCCTTCCCATCTGAGCCCAAAAACTCTATTACATAGACCCTTGATAACTTAAAACCTCTATAACTTAAAATATTTTGTATTTCCCTTGAACTTTAACCTATCGAGGTTCTACTGTATTTCGATATTAGAAAGAAAGAATGGTGTAGCTATTTACCACCAGTAAACGTACAGTGGAAACCCGCCTTAACAATCTCGCAACGCCTTCTTTAACCTAGATTAACTCCACTAACAGCGACCTTCTAAACCTCGCTTGTCTTGTGAAAGAACTAGAATTCTTTCTAAGATTCTTAACTAGTTTGCCCTCCTGACTCCGTATTCCACTTTCGCGACACTTATTGAAAAAAAATGTATTTTGACTGCATTTATCAAAAATATTGTTTTTAGTAACAACATATTATTTCTTACTAATATTATAAATGCGAAAGTACAGTTGGATAGATGGATGTTTGTTAGAGTTTGTAGATTAACGGCTGAATGGATCTCGATGAAATTTGGCATAGACGTAGAGGATAGTATAGAAGAACACATAGGCTAATCAATTTTATTTATAAATCTACGTGGATGGAGTCGCGGTCGAAAGTTAAATAAACAATTGACAACAAACAGATGTTAGTCGATGTAATGAGTTACCTAATGAATTAAGTGTAACCGAACGGGCCCTAAAGGTCAACTCTGTGTAGGTGTTTAAAGGTTAAGCTTTATGTAACTATGTTATGTAAAGTGAACCCACTATACACCTATAATCCCACGTTATACCATTCATGTGAATTACAAAAAAATGTCGTAAATCAACCTTTTTGTAATCTATATCTATATCTATCTATACATAAAAAATTGGAGTGTCTGTTTGTGTCGGGAAGATATATTTGCTTTGCTAATAACGAAATTATTATTTAAAAAAAAATTTTGTCTGTCTGTCCGAAAGCTATGTTTATTCCGAGTAATCTCCGAAACAGCTGGTCCGATTTCGCCCGGACTTTCACTGACAGACGGGCATATAGGATTTTTTTATCTTAATATTGTGTGGATGAAGCCGCGGGCAACACCTAACTATTTATACAAATCATTAATTTTTCGTATGAAATTATACACTAACGTGTATTGGAACCAGTTAAATGTACAACTTTGTTTATGTGATGTTAGTCTGGTAGCCATTGGCTTTAAAATTAAGCTAAAAGTAAGCAATTGAGATTATATACTCGTACTTTGAGATTTATTCTAACATATAGACTAAGAGCCATTGTATTTCGTGTAATTACGTAATTAATAGGTTTATTTTGTCTTCCAGCGAGCAATCAATAAGCAGTGCGCGGGCGTCAGTGATGGTGTACGATGACCACGCGAAACGCTGGATCCCATCCGGCTCCAGCTCCGGCCTCTCCAAGGTCCACATCTATCATCACACGCAGCACAACACCTTCCGTGTCGTCGGCAGGAAACTGAATGATCATGAGGTAATGTTTACATATGGACACCTGAATTGCCAATTAACAATTGAAATTCATCATCTCCTCTACCTTATCCTTGCCCCGTAGTGTCGATACCGGGTTTTCTAAATAACTCTATCATACTTCATGTCTGTCACTCCCTTCTTCATCATGTCACCTTTCACGTAATCCATCCATCTCTTTATAGATCTACCTCTACCCCTCTTACCTACATTTAATCTACGAAGGATCCCCTTGAAAAGGGAGGGAAGGAAATGGCATTGAAATAAATTTTCTGGCATGCACTTTTCAAAGGTAAAGGTCATCGGCGCGTTGCTCAATACCCTCCCCTTCATGTTCCTACGTCCCGTTACACCTAATATTATGTTCTATAGCGACTTGCCTGAACTCAAGACATGTGAAAACTACGTAAGTATAATTTACGGTTAGTGTAGATTTAGTACAAAGAATTAATCAAATATCACAATAAAAAGATACTCCTTGCATGAGTTGCATTAAGTACAAAATTGTTTCTATACATGTGTCTCGACAGTGAAAACAGTGTAAGTATTGTAACGAGTTATTTCCAAAGAATAAAGATCGATTTGGTACATAAATTGGTTTTGTAATAATTTCATAAGTCCGTCGGACTCGAGATCTTTAGTGGACGTCCTTGGAATGCTTGATTTGGTGTTAGTAGTTCCTAATGCCTTGTAAAGACATAGGTGTCTTGAAATCTCGAAGTTCTTAAGTTAATTATTACTTAATGAACACTTGATCAGTGTACAGTCGCGGAATTTCGCGGTGTACCACTTACAGAAAATACCCTGTTTATTGCAACATGGAAGACTTTCTTAGAAATAACCAATTAGGTAGTACACGGTTGCTCAAACGACGGGTGATGATGAAATCTAATTTAAACTGTAGTTGTGTATATTGTACTATTTATTAGATATGAAGTTAGCCTGCGATTCTGTTCGAGTGGAATTAAAAAATTATGTAGCCTATGTGTCCTTAAGTCTATTCTCTACATCTATGCCAAATTTCATCGAGATCCTTTCAGCAGTTTGGACTACAAAAAAATATAAAAAAAAACATACAGACGAATTGAGTACCTCCTTCTTTCGGCAAGTCGGTCAAAAATAACAAACATCCATCTAAACTTTCGAATATGTAATATTAGTAAGATTTTTTTAGATTTTACTCTAAATTGAAGACACAATCGAATCGAAGTCTTAACTTAAATATTTCTATCTATAATTCCAGGTGGTAATAAACTGCGGCATAGTCCGCGGTCTCAAGTACAATCAGGCGACAGCCACCTTCCATCAATGGAGGGACGCGCGACAAGTGTATGGCCTCAACTTTTCCTGTCGCGAAGATGCTGATAGCTTCGCGAGGGCAATGATGCACACACTTGAGATCCTCGCGAACAAAGTGACGAACAACTCGGCCCCGCCCCCAGCGCCGCCGAACCCGCCCGCGTACAACGGACACGCGCACTACGACGAGGATATGGGGTACAGGTGGGATTGTAGCTCGCTTTTGGGGGTCTACGTTGCTTTTTAGTTTAATAGATATACTAGATTTTATACTATTATAGAATTTACTAAGATTGTATTGTGTTTCAAGAACATTTTTATTAGAGAAGACTCATGTTTTTAGTAGACAAAGTTCTATTACGATAATTCTTTACGATATCCATAAATATATTTAGAATATAAAATAGTGAACTTATGCTAGAAACAGACGGTTCTGACAGTTTTAATTGACAGAAATTATCAGTTCAAATGTGTAGACAAAACTGAGAATTGTTCAGTCAAAAGACCTACACAGACACCGTCTCAACTGTCAGAACTGAGTGCTTAGGCTTTAGATATGTTTATTAAATTGTTTACTTATTTATTTAACATTTAAAAGACTTACAGCTTAAATTAACCTAAGTAACAAAACTGGATAAGAGCTAATGAAGTCTTAGCTTGTTGCAGTTACACATTTACCAATATGAAATAGTTCATAATATGTACAAAAACTAAAGTACTGTTAAAAATAGAGTACTAATCATCATCATCACCAGCTCACTATACGTCCCCACCGAGGGGCTCGGAGCCTACCTTAAAGTTAGGGTGACTAGGCCATAGTCAACCACGCTGGCCCACTGCGGGTTGGTTGACTTCACACATATCTTTGAATTTCTTCGCCGATATGTGCAGGCCACCGATGTTTTCCTTCAGCGTAAGAACGTCGGGTAAATTATGTACATATGAAAATTCGAAAATCCCATTGGTACAGACAGATTCGAACCCAAGACCTGTAGATTACAAGTCAAGTGCCTTAACCACTGAGCCACCGACGCTCTCATACAGAGTACTAATAATTTCATGAATTCAGAACAATGACACGAGAGGATGCGGCAATGCTGCAACAACCGCAGTACCACGCGCCGCATGTACAACACAACCCACCACAAGTCCACCAACCAATGCAACAGTATCACCAACCGAGCCAATATCATGCACCACATCAACATCATCAGGTAAGATCCTTTCCCAGACGAATTGTATACCTCCTCTATAATTGCAAGAATATTATATTTTAATACTAAGATCGTATTTGACTGAACTATCGCACAACTGTTTAGTCTTAATTTGATTTTTAGTTAGGCAACTAAACAGTTTTAGGTTGTTCAGGTTGCAAAACAATCGACAATCGCAGAATAGTTGTGCGATTGTTCAATCAAAAGTGCGCTTGCTCTTACAAACAGGAATGGCGGACTTCTTATCTATACTATTATAATAAAGCGTAAACACACACTTCTTTGTTGCCTAAGATGTCAGCAATTACAGCATATTTTGGAATGATACTTTTTTTAATAAAAAGCCCTACACTTACGTCACGCTTTAGGCTATATATTTTCACGGCATTAAACTTAGGGGGTAAATATGTTGGATAAAAACCCTAATGTGGGAAAGAGACCGAAAGTTGCTGCCAACATCAAGGAAGCAAGGTTTCCATGCTTTGTCATAATGTCATGTCCTTTTGACATTTGCAATTGATAATTTAACACATGTAAACAATAAAATACTTTT